CATATAGAATTTCATTACACTTTTAATAATGAATGATCTAAAAACTAAAGTTCATGTACAAGATAAATAATAAAATTATGCGTCCCTGTAGTATAATGTACTGGTCCAAATGGGGCGTGAATTCGTGCATATTAAAGGCGGGAATGGATGGCAAAAATAATACCGTGTTAATCAACGAAAATTTAGAATTGCCGAACAGTTTAGCTATTGATTACGCAAATAATAGATTATATTGGATAGATACTAAACTAAAAATAATCGAATCGGCACGGCTAGATGGTACAGATCGGAGGGTATATTCTTCATTTTTTTTCTATATCTATATTGGTAGAATAATGTTCATCAAGAAACGATAATTACATTATTTAAAATTATTTCTTAGGTCATACTGAAAGGGGTGGTAAAGAAGCCATTTTCATTGGCTGTATTTGAAAATAGGCTGTATTGGAGCGATTGGATATCTAATACCATACAATCGTGTGATAAATTCACTGGCAAAAATTGGAAAATCTTAGTGGGTACGAACAGTACCATTTATGGCATACATATATATCATTCCGTTTTGAAACCCAAGGTAACGCCACCCGTTCAATTATTTCTTCCTTATCGCTTCACACGTAGATAAAAAAAAATGCAATACCCGACAATAGATGCCGAATCCATGCAATTCGAATCCCTGTTCCGAGCTGTGTCTATTAAATTCAGATAATGGATATACCTGTGCTTGTACATTGGACAAAGAATTAAATCATGATAATCATACATGTCGTGGTAAGTTATATCATTGTTATAAATTTCGACGTATTTGATATGAAATGCAATTTATCTGTTAATGCGTGAATTAAATAAATTTCAGCGGTTAAAAAGAAAGTGCATTTAGTTATTGCAACAGGAAACACGTTGATAGATTATTATCATGAATTACTGGGAAAACCAAAGATGACAACTAATGTTATACTAAATCATATCACTGGGATTGCTTATAATCCTCTTACTGGTATGGTTTTAATCACTATTCGTTCCTCTGAATACGATCAAAATCCTTTTTTTCTTTTTTTTCTTTTTTTCTTCCTTTTTAATATCTCGAACATTAAAGAAACAAACGAATATTAACACAGGTGGTTTACTGGGCAGCGATCAACTAAGGGACAATATTTTCCATTTTAACACACACACTGATGATCTGAAAAGCTTGATATCTATCGAAAATGAAATATTAGGTGGAATGGATTTCGACTATCTTGGAAACAATCTATATTTGTCGAATGTGAAGCACAAAACTATTGAAGTTCATAACTTGAACAACAGTGAAAAGACGATCTTCTACTTTCAGGACGAACCTTACGATATTGCTCTTGTACCGGAAGAAGGGTAATTATTTTCATATACGATATATTTTCAAACACATGTGCATTTCAGAGGGTACGAGTAAATTCTGAAATAATTTATATAATTTTATAATACTTTAAATATTATAAAATTATATAATTATATAATTATATAATAATATTTATAATATTATTAAAAAAAGGATAATTGTTTTCATATACGACATATTTTCAAACACATGTGCATTTTACAGAGAACGAGTAAATTCTGAAATAATTTATATAATTTTATAATATTTTAAATATGTTATAAATAATTTTATAATATTTTAAATATGTTATAAATAATATAAAATTATAAATAATATAAAATATTATAAATATTATAAATTTATATAATTATATAATAATATTTATAATATTATTAAAAAAAGGGTAATTATTTTCATATACGACATATTTTCAAACACATGTGCATTTTACAGAGAACGAGTAAATTCTGAAATAATTTATATAATTTTATAATATTTTAAATATGTTATAAATAATATAAAATTATAAATAATATAAAATATTATAAAATTATATAATTATATAATAATATTTATAATATTTAAAAAAAGGTAATTATTTTCATATACGATATATTTTCAAACACATGTGCATTTCACAGGGTACGAGTAAATTCTGAAATAATTTATACATGCTTTTATTGAAAAGCCTCGCGATATGATTTAAATTCTTATTATGTGATTATGTTTTAGTATCATGATGGTCGTATTTAGTGCGGATAAATCGTATCGCATAGATCTGATGAATATGAACGGACTTGGTCCAAGAATCACGCTCGAAGGAAATAAAACACCGTTAATTGGACCGAAGGTATCTTTGTGCTACGACAGAGATCTGAAACAATTGTTTTGGAGTGATCAGGGCACTGGTCGTATTGGTATTACGACCATTCCAGGTCTGTATTTTGTATCACGATAAATACATCCAAGTGCATCCAAGAGATAAAACTTTTTTTACAAATTTTCAAATGAAAGACAACAATCATTTTTCCCAAACTCTACGATTATGAAATCGTAATCGTATCGTAATCTGATAATTTTTAAGATTAAATTAAGTTTCTCATTATGTATTAACATCACGTAGGACATTATAATATTTAAAATATGAAAGTCATTTTTATTTAGGTTTTAGGTTTTCAATGATGTGCATTTAAACTTTAAACATCTGTAGTTTGTATATTGCTGTTATCAGTTTATAGTAATTCAAAAATTAGACGGAATTCATCTTATATTATATAATTGTAAAATTAAATGTTATTTTTATATTTTAATTATGTAATTCAAAGACTCCTTCTCTTCCAAATATTCTATTTCTTGCATGAGTATTATTAACAATTGTGACTATTTTTTTTTTTTTTTTAGGTCTTGAAACATATATCTTCCGCACTGGTTTATCAGAACCTGTGAGTCTCGCCGTTATTGGTAATTATGTATTTTGGACTCAATATAAGTCAGATCAATTGTATTGGACTAAAAAGAGCAACACACAGCAATATCAGAAACATATTACATTAAGTAAGTAATATAAAACGAGTTATATAACATTTTTTTTTAATGATCAATTAACTTGATTCACTGATCAACCATAATCAAATATATTTTCTAAATAGCTGATAAATGGATTTAATCTTAACTTGACTTTCATGCTTCCTTATTCTCAGCATTTTATATAAAAAAAAGTAGTTACTTTTTAAATAAAAAAGAAATAAAATACAGAAATAGTAACTTATACAGGATAGATTATATTATAACCATAATCGTCTTTTTAATGATATAAAAAGAGTTTATTATTTGCTACAAACACTACTATAATATGACAATAATAATTTTCTCGTAGATAAAGGAATTTCGAAAATTTTAAAATTACTTTTACTTTTTTTATATAGAATCATATATTTTTGTATTATTATCATTATTATTATTATTATGTATTATTTATTAGTTTAGAAGATATTTTAATTTTGAATACGTTGGTTTTTATGAAATTAAAATAGATAAGTTAATACTTTTTTATAGACAATATCGAGCTGCATAGACCAAAATATATATGATACTAGAAAATTTTCGAAATCCTTTCACCTACAAAAAAATCATTGCTGCCATATTATGGCCCTACCTGTATTGAATAATTTTCGTTAACAAAGTTTTTTTTTATATTTCCAAACAACAACAGAGATATTTAAGGTAATCATAATTGCTGGTCTACCTGGTTAGATTTATAGTTTAGGTTAAGTAATAAATGAAGATTATCGATTAGTATAAGAATAACTTTAACTTTCAGAAGTACCTAATAACTTGGACAGGATACAATTAGTGGGTATACACGAAACCTACGTAAGAGACCACCAATGTCGTACGAACAACGGAAACTGCTCTCACGTGTGTCTGTTATCCAACTCTCATTCATATGTAAGTTAAAAATATTTTATAGCTTTTGTAAGAACCGGTTGTCTCTGTACTTAGAATATTTCATCAAAATTTCCAGCTTTGCGCCTGTCCTCCGGACATGATGCTAAACGTAGATAATCGAACGTGTAGTCCTCAAACTGCGTGTAACGCCGGCGAAATAAAATGCAGTGAACACGATATGTGCATAAAGTTCGATCAAAGGTAATACACTATTTATATTTTATAATCCAGTCCATTTAATTGGCTTAATTCCTGGAAATGTCCATTTAAATTTTTGCCTCGTGGTAATAATAATCTGTTTTCTGCTTCTTTGTAAGATTAATATCCGAAGGTACGTGTTTTTCTTTTGCTTTTTACAAAGCAAAAGTTGCTTAAAGTTGCTTAAAGTTCATTATAGTTATTAATTAATAACTATAATGTTATAGTTACAATTATAGTTATTAATTAATTATTAAATTGTAATTGTAGTGTTTTATAATTTACCTGTAAATTAAAAAGAAAAAGAAAGTTATCTCTTTCCATAAAGATAATAATATATTTTTATTAAAACAAGATATTTGACAATTGCAGATGCAATGGGATACAAGACTGCCCTAACGGGGAGGACGAATCAAGCATTTGCGATGAATATCACTGGTCAAAATGCAAGCATCAGGATCAGTTTCAATGCAAAAACGGCGAATGCATAAGCAAGACGAAACGTTGTAATTCCTACTATGACTGTGCCGATTGGTCGGACGAGGAGGGCTGCGATAAAAAGGAATGCGATTCCAGTAAATCAAAACACTTACTAAATCTTATTTACAATGTGCTTATTGTCTACAATAACAATACTGTTTGAACATTTAGAGCACAAATTATAAGCGATAAATTATATACTGTGTATATAAAACGACCGACAATGTAGACCAAATTGAGAGATCAGCGAATGAAAATTATTAAATAAGCTCGTATATTTATTTGAATCAATAAATTAACATTGTTTAAAACCATCGTGTACCTTGCTTGCATAATCGTAATAACGCGAATAGAGCAATCGTAGAAGTTTAAGTTATATTATTCGATGAAACAGATTTGATTGGGACGAAAGTTTAGCAGATAATATCCATTCTTAATTAATTTCTTAAATCAATAAAACGACACATGAATTTATCGATTTAAATAAGAAAAGGAAAAGTTTTATTTTCTCTCTCTCTCTCTCTCTCTCTCTCTTTTTATTTATATTCCTGCATATTTCTCATAGAATTTCGATTTTCGCTGAGAAATAGGAACACGTTTTCGATCGAAGGTACCTTGTTAAGACCACATTTATTAAGGTCTCCATTTGATTCTCTTATGGCCAATTTATTCGATACGATAAGAAACGTAGAGCTCGCATAACCGAATCGAATAGTGCTATTGTTATGAAACATCAACATCGAGAAAGAAACGACGTATCGATATCACGTGTAGGCTGAATAAAGACCTCCGATGTAGGTGTTCAAGCAGCCAACAATCATTCACGATGACTCTAATATCTTCCAGATGAATTTCAATGTCACGAAGGAGCTTGCATATCGAAGTACCTTGTATGCAACGGGCAAAATGATTGTACTGATTTTTCGGACGAACTTAATTGCGACAGGCACAAATGTGACGCAGACAGCTTCGCATGCGAAACCGGGACTTGTATACCAAAAACGTGGGAATGCGATGGAGAGGTGAGCTTGCAATTTCTAATAACGAAAACACTTTTTCCTCTTCGTTCAAATTTCTTTCATTCGTTTGCTTCCTTGAGACAGTAGATCAGCGTCAGGCTCAAAAAGATATAAAAGCAAGGAACAGTAATTTTTTTTTTTTTTTTTTTTTTTTT